TCATGGTCTTGTTGGGCTGTAATATGTGGCAGGAGTTGAGAAAGCAGGTCAAGGGGACAGAGGGTTTGCAAAGTTTCAAGACTTTTAGACTAAAACATTGACTTAGATCAGTCCCTGCAGGATTTCACAGGCTGCTTTTGGGATTGTTGAAGACTAAAATGAGTGATTTCACGGCAGCTTATTGAAAAATGCAATGGGGTTTGTAATGTTTTGAGGCGTGATATTTAGTGAAACACATTCAACTTCTACTGACAAACAAAAGATCCAATAAAGACATTTACTAGCTGAGGGACATCTTTTGGCTCCTGAAATCACTTCCTTTTAATTTGTTTTAAACCCCCCAAAAAATGTGTAAAAACTGAATGAAAGCAAAGGAAACAGCCAAACTGTGCATGCGCATGCTATCCATGTACGCAAAGAAGAATCTACACGTTTTTACTACATTTATGCTTTATCTACTCATTACTGGCTGCTGGGCGAGTATAAAACCATTGATAAGAGTCAGGGGCATTACTACCTCACTGTACAATGACTTAATATGATCAGGACTGACACATCAGAGAGAGAAATTTAAGAACACACAACTGATTGATTGAGCAACTCAACATGAGACATTTTGGTTGGCTGAGTGGACGGCTTACAACTTTAATTGCAGAAAAAGAATAAATAATCACAATAGGATATCTAGAATTGGATGTATTATTTTGGATTCACTGTGTAAATCCTTCTTAAAAAAAAGACACTGCAGTCGTAGGCTGGATAAAGAAGCACCGACAGAGAAACGGTTGCACCTGACGCTCTTTATAATGGGGCAGCTGTCTCCTGCACAGCACACACACACACACACAAAAAATGTCTCTGGCCTGCAGCTTTCAAGAGATATCTATATATAAGACACAGTAACAATACCTCCTGAAAAGTCATACAACATTTACAAAATAAAGGAGGTTAATACGTAAATTGTCAATGAAGTGATTTGAGTGATGTTTATAGCAAGAGGGGAAATAGGCTGATTGGTCAGATATGTGGAAAAGTTGTGGCAATTGGGCAGTACTGTTTTCCTGCACAGAACGCAGGGATCAGCTGATTTGGTGTTAATTGTTAGGATCACCACATTGCAGCTTCCTGAGGAGACTTTTTAATGATTATATAAGCGGGGGATTGCATTTGTTTTTTTTAATAAGAAGGCAGTGACATTCCATGAAGATGGATTCATGCACCCCTTCCCGCTTTAACCTCAGAGTACGTCAACTGCGCACATTATTAACAAGAGGGAGGCCATTTCCTCCAGTACACTCCAGCCATTAGGCCCGTAAGACACACACACAGTACAGCAGCATACCTAGAGAATCACTCTGTTCTTCAGTATTGATTTTAAACTACAACTTTTAGATCCTGCTCTCAGTGGCGCTTCCACTTTTGAGACGAGGCAGATGAGATTTATCACCGGCGACACAGGAGATGAGAAGCGGTGATATGTTCGGCGCTCTCACTCTCTCAACGCAGGCATTAGTCACCATGCCTGTGCTTCTCTGATCTGTTGTCTGTCATCCTCACTCTTAGACACATGCATCACAATCACACGGCGCTGAAACACACACACACACACACACACACACACACACACACACACACACACACACACACTCCTTATTTTCTCCATGAAAAAGAGATGTTCAATTTCCACCCCTCGCTAAGTGGACAGCTCATGTCCTTCAGAAAAGCGTGCAGGAAACAAGGCCTTGTCGGTGGATGGATTCTCCCTGGCACGTCCTGTCAGCTCGTCCAGGTGATCAGAGAGGATTGTGGGTAATTTATAGGACTGAAGGCAACAGTGTGATACTGCGAGACACAACTCGCCGTGATCGATTGTCTTCACGTCTTCCTCCAAAGCTTACTGTGTGTGTTTCTAAGTTTCTGTCATCGTTAGTTTGGTACGTAAAGTAATGCTGAGAAACGGGAAAAAAAAACTGATGAGAAAGTGTAGATTAGTGTGAGGAAGGAAAATTGAAGTAGTCATCTCGCCAGAATACAGGGCCCATTCTTTGAATATTTGATGCAGACGGATAGCTGTTCACTCCAGTGGAACAAACTGGATTGGAGTCCAGCCGCTCATCTGGAAAAGGCTGTAATTTGAAGTCGTCACTGTGGAATGTCCTTAAGATCCTCATTTTCTTCTCGGCAAAACTTCCACCTCTGGATCAGCCCACCCAGGCCATAAACTGAGGTTGTGGGTCGCACACACATGTTGTGATTATGCACTCGTACTCACATTCTCAGGCAGTAGAATGTCACAGGACCAAATTAAAAAAAAAAAAAGATTTGTGCCAATATGCTCGTTTGGATGGAGAGTGGGTAAAGAGATTCCCAACAATCTTGGTCCTTCAAAAGATTATGTTTGCTTTATATATCTATCTATACTTTACTCATCATTTTTCCTCTGCTCTGTAATCATTTAGAAGAATGAAAGACAAGCAGCTATTTCAAAGTCGATTATATTCTAAAGAAATGTCCTACAATCAGAAACTCCAGATTGATACAAAACCTATCAAATATTTCTTGTAATTATTGAATTACATGCCTATTAGTCAAATTGACAACTTTATTTATCTGGTATGAATGGCTAGATATTGCTTTGTTGTTAAAAAATGATGAAGAGTAGCGGCAGCTCTTCAAACTACATTTTTTAATTTGTTGTTCAAAAAGCTGAAAAAAAAACCAAGGCACTCTTCTGGAAGAAATAAAACGCCTCAATTCAATAGGCTATTTCATGATGAAATTGCTAAAAAAAAAAAAACAACAACAACACAAAAACAAAAAAACAGATCATGATTTAAAAACAAGCTGAGTAACAGCCTACCGAAGCGGCACAAACAGCCGTCTTCAAGTTGTTGCTCTCAGCACACAGTCTGCCACTTCAGTAAGCCAATTAATTACACACACCTTTGACCTGAGCAGCAGGTCACTGAGCTCACAGGTGTGAATGCAAGAGCATGCTCACCTAATGTCTGAGCAACAAGTACAAGAACCGGACATAAAGAGCACAATAAAGTCAATATCATCACCTTCCAAAAGTTAAAGACAAACATTCATTCACAAAGGTAAAGTAAACCACAACACACAAGGAGCCACACCTCATACACCAAAAACAACCACAGAAAGGACTCCTCATTCAAACCTATACTGTCACCTCCATGTGATAAATATTGACATTTACTCTGTAATGATCATTTCAAAAAGTTACCACCTCAATGGTTCTTTTTAATTGTTTCTAGGCCAGAAGGCATGAAACTATGGGGTTGCTGTTGTTGTTTTTAAAATATATTTTTGGGCCATTTTTGCCTTTAATTCGATAGGACAGCTGAAGAAAGACAGGAAATGTTGGGAGGAGAGAGTATTGGATGAAATGCCGCAAAAGAGCAGAGGTCAGATTCGAACCCACGGTGGCTTCGACGAGGACTATAGCTTCTGTACATGGGCGCACCCCAGGGTTGCTGTTGTTTTTAAACTGCATTTATTGTTAAATAACAACTGAAGCCTGATTTAAACTTCCGCGTAGAATATACGACGTAGCATGCGCCGTGGGTTAGCATAGCTCTGTACGTACTCAGAAGCCTGCGTGCCTAGCCAGACGTGGACCTCAAATATTTTAAAATGCGTCGCAACAATGCAGATCAAAAGCCCTGTGATTGGTCCGCTCAGTAGCATCTTAAAGGCTAAAGGCATATTGTGTGTTCTCCAATGTGAGAGAAATAGCTGCTGACGTTGAACCAATGTGTCAATGTAAGACGTATCTGTAAATATCAGAAGCTCTCAGTTCCTCTTCCAGTGGCCAAACTAGCGCGAAAAAAATTCCCCCATCCTCTGCCTCAACTGATTCAGTCGCCGTACATTCCATCACCTCGAATATCCCCTCTCTTTTCTTCTTTGCAATAATTGCAGTATAATCAACTGCTGCTCAATATCATATACAATATATTTATACACTTGGTTTCAGTCGCCATGGTTTCCTGAACACAGACGAGCAAAGAATGAGACGGAACGAGAAACTGGCGATATCACTAGCATAGAAATCGCACTGCCAACTTTGGTTTGTAGGCGGAGTATTGCAGACACACCAACGCACAAGTATGTAGTGCTCACGACGGCGTAGGCCATGAAGGCGATCGTATTAATCAGGACTTTATAAAGATTAATAACGTGTGTTCAACATTCATCCCAGCTGGATGTTTGACTGTCGGTACATTTTGTGCAAACGGTTTGATTCATTTTCCATTACTTCACTCAGTGAGTATGTCGACTGTGTTGCTGCATGCTGGTGAAATCAAAACGACAGAATCAGATGGACTGGCAACTGTACAAACTGCACGAGCAAACATCAAATAGAAACGGCTGCTGACGCTTCGCCAGATTTCTTTTTTTTTTTCTCTGAGAGAAAACTGAATGTGAGACCAGAGAATTACACTCCAAATGGAGTGACTGTGATTTTCTCCTTTACATAAACTGGAAGTCACATCACATATCTCTATTCGTGTATTAACTTTCATGTGTATTAACTTTCATGTCTGCTTCTGCAACATTTAAGTGATGCAGCATATATAGGTGTACACACCCATATCACCACACATCTGATACTAATCCACATTTCCCACCCCCACACATAAAGACAAAAAAGTTTCTTTTAATATTAAGTTTTTCTAACTTCTTGCTATCCTTGCCAGTTATGTACTGTAATTTACAGCAAGGGTCAATTGAATAAAAATGTTCTTTTTGTAAGATTTTCATCCTCTAGACTTCATTTTGTTCCATCTTGTTTTACATATATTTCAACAATGCAATTTGCACACAACATGTTCCCTTTTTTGTAATACTGCTTCCACAATATCTAGCATCATTAACAGAGCGTCTACAATCAATGTGTCGCAACAGTTCTCACTTAATCAGACTTAATACCTTGAGACGACTCATCTCACTTAACGAATCTGTCTCTTTCTTTGAAGGTGTAAGTGTAACCTCCACGCCTCCCAGTGCCTGCTGCAGGAAGGGAACCTCCAGTGCCAGTGTGAACATAACACCACAGGCCAGGACTGCCAGCGCTGCAGGAAAGGCTTCAAGGCCAAGTCCTGGAAGGCTGGATCCTACCTGCCCACACCCAATGGAACCCCCAACACCTGTAAGCACCCATTAATCTGTCCTACTGTGTCGACAAAAGTCATCAATATTACACAAGCTAAGATAGTACACTAATGAACCCTTTTGTATGACTTAGCTAAAGTCTGTTAGATTGCATTAGGCTTCCTGGATGTAATAAAACACTGGAATGAACAAAATTCTTCTGACAGGGTGTCCTGGGAGGGGCCTAAATCCTGAGGCACTGCTGCAGATTTATGGGTTGTTTCTTCTTAATTTAAACCAAAAATTATTTCTCTACTTCTTGCTGACACTTACAAATGGAAAAGTGGCATCAGTTGAAAGTTTTTTAGTTTAAAAAATCCATAATTGCTGACAGTTTAAGCTTACCTTATCAAAAGGCTGGTACACAGAAGGAAATAGCTAGCCTGCATCCATTAAAAAGGAAAATAATGAGTCCACCAACTCTAAAAGTAACGTATTAAAACCTTATATTCAGGTATTCTTCCCCTGAGTCTCAGTTGGTTTCCAGTCCAGCACACAACACACATAAAACTTGTTTTAATTTTTTTTAAATTGTGGATAAAAAAATGGATAAGTCTGACTTTGTTACAGATTTTTTGGGGGAACCTGGCCCACTGTCTGCGCCTGATATCAGTCTTTTTCCATAGGGAAGCTAACTGGCTACTTGCAATGGGCTTAGTTATTCAGCATAAAGATCAAGTTTCATCAATGCTCATGTTTGGTTGATATAAAAAGTATAGAAAAGTGCAGCGTCAAGATGCGACATTTAGCGAGCTTGCTGTTTGTTTAAATTAAATTATTTTTTCGACATTCATGTTGGTTTCTTAGCCTAACTAACTTTGACCTGTAAGTTGTTGCTGCTGGTAGTTAAATGTGGCTAAATTCATGCTATCTCTGTGTACTGTAAGCCGAGAGGGCTGAAGCTCAGTATACGGTTAACTAGTGTCCATTGGCCTGTTAGTTGTTTTTAAGTAGGTAGTGAGCCAAGAGTGGGAATAAATTCAAATTTTACAAATCTGCATGGCCAGTTTACTGGTCAAGACGTCTGGTCTATGGAAAAACCCTACACAAGAACCTGTGAGGTCACTATACAGATAAATAGACTCCTCTACACCAATCAGAAGTCTTTATACTCAAAGTGTTTTATTCTCTTTTTACAGTAAATCTCAATTTTGCTGCTATGATGATTCCAGATGAAGTAAATGTGTTTCAGTTGAATCTTTCTAATCACACATGATTAATCATGACATTTCTTCTTTAAAAAATGAACGTGTAGGCAGGTATTTTAAATCTCATTCCTCAGCATTCTTGATTGATGAATGTTGAGGTTTCCTCACAACTCTCAGGTCCTCAATGAAAAAACAGGATCAATGGAGCAAGTTGAAAAGAACAGAGTAGTTAAGAGGAAATGACGGAGCTCTCCAATCTGTCGTCACCTCTGTGCAGAGAGCAGATCAGAGCGCTGTAAAACCGTGGGAGTGCGTGGGGGGAAATCCTCTTGGAGAGAGAAGCCTGCAACATTAGATAGCTCTGATAAAATAATAATCTAGGGCAGCCCCTCCCTACTTCAGTCCCTTCACACAAACACAGAAACACTCACATGCACATATAGACAAAGAGAGGCGCACACATACACCTGTATCTGTACTGGCTCTAATGTCAGCCCTTTTTTTATCAAGCATTTGTTCCCAAGTCACTTCTAATGGTACCGACACACACCTTCAGAGCCCATTACCACCCTTTTAAAGTTCGGAATCCCATTAGTAGAACTTTAAAAATTAAAATGTTTGCAACTTGTTCGCTTGAAATGCGACACAAAATGGCCATGGCTCACGAAACAGTTTGGTCCCAACTGGTTGCATTATGCATGGCAGGCTAACTATAAATACAATCTTAGAAAAAACACAGAGGAAAGGCAAAAAGTTTTGATTCAAGCATAGCAAAGAAGCAGCGCTTAAAACATGCATATATTATAAGAAGCTCTGAATGTGAAAAAGGTTTTGGAGGAGTAACAAGAAGAGTTTAAAGGCACCTTTGCCTAACTAGTATGAGGCTGTGGGGGTGTGTCTAGACTTTTTCAACTGGGGTGGCCCCAACAGGGGCAAGGACTTATGCAGGAGTGGCATGAATTTTGTGTGCACAATCCTGAAACTAGTAGTCTGTTGAACCATTGCCAAAATAGTTGATTTTATCCTTTATGTCCCACCCCTTATAAGGAAAAGAGCCTATCACAGTTAAATATTATGAGGCGGCAGCTGGAATGGCTGATTAGATTTGAAGGGGGCCTGTACCACCTCTGGACACCCCTCTGGACACGCAGCTAAGAGGCGGGCTTTAGCAGCTTAGAACCTTCACACATGCATTAAACAACTGTATCATACCTCTATGTTAAAGTAGATATGATTGGTGGAGACATGCAGACATGGTAAATAAATGCTTTGGACATACATGTACATGCATACACTTTATGCCACCCCTGCAAAAGTTGTGCCGCCCAAGTGAAAAAAAAGAGTCTGCATACTCCTCTGGAAGTAACAAGTTAAAAGGGGGATGGAGGAGGCGGTGCAGATCCAGAAATTATCCTAAAACATTGAGCGGTGATAAGCTGCTGTTTTGCAGAACTGCTCCAAAAATCTCTCCGCCACTTGAGTCTGATGAATGAGGCAGAGTCAAGACTTTAGGCAGTTTGTATGCATAAATAAACAAGTTCTCATCTCCTCTTCCTCTGCTTATTCTCTTTCAGGTACGATTGCTGGTTCATCCTCCGGTTCCAGTAAGTAATAACGCATAGCAAAGCGGAAAGGCTTCTATTTTTGTATCAGCTCTCTCTCTCTCTCTCTCTCTCTCTCTCTCTCTCTCTCTCTCTCTCTCTTTTTGTTGCATTGTTTTTCAAATTTAAGTTTCAACCCAACACCTCCCATTCTGTACGTCTCCTAAACTCTCCTCCTCTCCCCCCCTCTCTCCCCCTGTGATGTTCAGCTGGCTCTCTAGTCAGTCATTTCTCCTTTTTTCCCTGCATCTCCTCTGTCAGTGCTGCAGCTTGGGCCCTGTGTGCTTCATTATTAATAGGCCTCTCTGTCGCCATGTCCTTTCATCACAGCACATCACACTAACCTGCACAGGAGGAATTCTTCCACAGTTCTGCTGCTTCTCTCATTCAGACTAAAGACAGCGCTGGTGATGGATTGAAGAATTTGAAGGGGGGGGGGGGTTTGGATGGGATGGGATGGGACGGGAGAAGGTTGGGTGAGGATGGGTGCTGGAGAAGAGAGACAGACAGAAAGAGAGAGAGAGAGGAATGGGAGAGGAGGATGTTGGCATATGTTAGTGTGTTGTAATGCAGTGTGATTCTGGGTGAGGAGCTCGGGGAGGCAGGAATAAAAGGGAATTTGATTAGGGATTCTCTCTGTGGAGAGGCTCTCAGCCTCCGAGCTGTTAGACAGAAACGATCGGCAAAGTGGCAACATCAACCCTGACAGCACTGGGCTTTTCTCCACATGGCCGGACAGTAAAAAGGCTGCTGCATGGATAAACTGAGCAATTGGACTGCACTGCAGAAGTCTGTCTCCTCTCACAATTAGATACAATTGTGTGCTTATTTGGAAAGATAATGGGGGGGGGGGAAGAATGATTCTTGCAAATGGGCTGAAAATCAGTTTAGTGGTTTACTCTCAGGTTTCTAAGGTTTTAGTGTCTAGTCTGTTAATCATGATTTTTACCTGTGCTGCTGATTAGCCTTAGCTCATACATTTATTGTTCCTGAAGCTGAAGATGACACGGAGGATGAAACTGAAGGAAAGCCGAGGGGGAAGATGAAGGTGAAGCTGAGGGTGAAGCTGAAGGTGAAGATGAAGGTGAGGGTGAGCCCGAGGCTGAAACAGAGAGCGCCACAACCACTTCAGAAGCTGAATGGCCTCCAGCTTTTACCAGTGAGCAGTTCGGAGCCCCTCAGGAAGGTGCGGAATAAAAGTAGATTAGCCATAGATAGAGGTAGAGAGTTAGTACTTAGTGGGTTTAGTCAATACTGTCTATTCTTGTTGATCGTTAAACTCCCCTGAAGTATTTATTGGACAGATGTATTCCCTGCTGAAAATCTCTTATCTTCCAAAAGAATTGTTTACAATTACTGGGTCCTGAAAGCAGAGGCAGTAAGGGTTTTTAAAGTAACGTGGTTAAAATCAGTTTGTCGTGCCAGATGTCATTTGCTACTTCAAGTCTTCGCTTCTACCACTGAATAATAAATACAGTAAAATCTGGTGTGTGAGACGCACTTTTTTTTTCTTCTTTTCACTTTTTTTTTTCCTTCTGAAATGTTGTGCTACGTCCTATATAGGCCAACCGGTGTGACCAATATACCAGTATAAAATGTTGAGACATGTTACATCATGACCACAAGTGCAGTGCTCCCATTCATCGTGCATATCAATCTGACAATTTTTGGAAATGCACTTGGTTCTGTTCTGTTTGGAATTAGATGACCGACTTAGATAAACTGCTGGTGTCTTTTTGTCAAGTATAAAGTTAAATGGTATTTTCCAAATATCAGGGTTTATAGTGGTCAACTAATCTGAAGAAGCGTAGTTTAGCTTTGTAAGAAGAAGACAGGGGAAACAGCTGGACTGTTTAAAGCCAACGAAGTCGACCTACTGTAGCAGCAAGCAGCTCATGTATAGAAATTGAACAGCATCAGTTTGAAAGGGCAACGTGCATTAGAGTTAAGAAAAATGACAACACATAACCCCAGTGTACGACATACATTACAGTTTGTTTGGGTAACAGATGAAACAAACAAGAACTGTGTTCACAGGTAGCGCAGCTGTTTGCAGCCATGTGACTGACTGCTGGTTTTAGCTCTGTATTTGACAGACATATATGAGTTGTAACAGCTTATGAAGTTGTAAGTTGTGAGCCTTGTGTCTAGATAAGCTAAGAATGAAAAAAGAGTGACTGGAGATATGCTCCTATCAGGTTTTGAGGGAAGAAGAAAGCTTCCACGAGCTGACAGCGTTTGTCCAGCAAAGGTTAACATGGATACCATCTGTAGACCGCTGTCCCACAGACTGACAGTACTGATGAGGGACCCATGGCAGAAAACATAGCGGACCGCTTGTGCTTTAAGAGACGTTTTTTCACTGGAAAAGATATATAATCAGCGAGTACTCGTTCATAAGGTAATGTGACTACTTGAGTATTTGGATTACTTTAAATGCTAATAGATCATAATCAGGCTTCAGAGCTCCATGTTAGCCTGAATCAAAATTCTGCTGACAAGTGAAACACTATAAGAACTGTGTAAAGTATGAGTGCAGGGCTTTCAAACTGTAGCATGAATTTGCAGTACAGGATTGCTACTTTTACATAAGCAACATATGAATACTTTACTAACCAGCCTGTCAAATAACAAAGAAACAGTGTTGTGGAGGCTTGTGAAGAAACAAATGTGTGTGTTTGTGTGTGTCAGTGTGCTTCTAGACACTGAACTGCAGCGTGTTTGTATCTGTGTATATGTATCATACATAATACATCCTGCAGACTTAAGATGTACATTGGCCAATTCCCCTGCCGTATGACTCTCTGACGTCAATGCCGGGTGAGGGTTGTCCCGTGTTGAGTGGAAGGGCGTCAAACTGTACCGGCATTCAGACTTTATTTGTTCTGACAGACTGATTTTAAGCAACCCAGGACGGACGTGAACAGAGTCTGTCAGCCGCTTGAATGTACAGTCAAGTGGACCTGAAAACCCCGGCTCGGGCTCATGCTAAATTTAAACCTGCCAGCTTGGTAGGCAGCGGACCTCTCATGTTCCACCAGAAAAGCACTTAGGAAGTGGGCGGAGCTGGGATTTCGGCTCCGCTGTGATGTCGACCGACTTTTCTTTTTTTTTTCTTTTTGTCTGAAGGAAATCCATTAAGAGCATTTGTTGAACAGCACAGCACTTTTGTTGTTTGGCTGACATCAGTAGGGAACTCAAATAAGTCAATGATTAGCTGTGATTTAGGAGAGGCTGACAGAGGCTTTAACACAGGCCTGTGTAAGCTTTTTGAAGTCCTCCGGGAAGCATACAACATCACACAACATCACATATAGACACGTTTCAAACATTAGGAGTCATAAAGAGACGATTAAATTAGATTTCCTATCCCAAACAGGGCCTCTGATGATTAATGTTATGTTCTTCTTTTCACATAAACCTTAATTATTTGAAGTCAAAAAAATATTTTCAAAATGTAAAAAAAACATTTCATAATGCTTTGTTTCTGACCCACCAACAATCTAAATCTTTATTCAATCTGCAAACATAGAAAAAAAAATCTGAGTCTAACTCCAGAGATTTCTTTGGTGCCATTTCTGCATGAAAGTGGTAGACTGTTTATAATAAATGGAAATAATCTCTTGGTGTAAGATCTAAGTCGATGCAGACGTTACTTCATCCCGCATTCCTCCTAATGACCAGCAGGGGGAGACTGAAATGTTCCCATTTAGAGTTAAATAGACAATAAAGCAGTTAATGCTTTAGGGCGTGGATACCTATATATGACCGAGTTGATGAAAGTGATTGTTAAATGGCACGAAATATAGCAAATCCACGCTGTCAACCAAATATAGTTACTTCTGGTTACAAAACAACCAAGACCCATACCAAAATTCCAACCTCAAGGCTTCAAAAAATTAAGTGAACAAACCAATGAGTGACGACAGCGTGGCTGTTGTTAAGTCTTCATTTACATACTGATCTAAAAATCATTGCAGCTCTCATCAATGTCAAACAAATGCTAAGCCTTACTTTGTTTGTTAACCAACATAAACAAAACATACAGAAGTCATATATTCATATATTAGTACAGCAGTAAGACGTATTTGTATAATATATTTTATAACAATATTCAATGTTTGGAATAAACTGGAGAAAGTTCCGATAAACCCCACAGACATAAGAACTATTCGGCTGCTCTTTTGGGACACCATATCTGATTTTTTTATATCTCAGGTTGCTTGAACCTGACCCTGATCTTAACAAACCCTTGTTATTTCTGTCAGTGTGTGAGTGTGGGTGGGTGGGTGTGTGTGTGTGTGTGTGTGTGTGTGTGTGTGTGTGTGTGTGTGTGTGTGTGTGTGTGTGTGTGTGTGCACATGTCTATGTGTGGACTCATGTTGGGCATATGGTGCAGTTCGGTGAAACCCATAAATCATCCTCATCCCTTACTCTTCCTCCCAGGGATCTGAGGTCTAAGGTTCCCTTCTCAGCCAGCGGCCAACACTACTGTGTGTGCGTATCAGTATACATGCAACACAATAGGGCTGCATGATTTATCCGAAAAAAAATCACAATCTTGATTCATACACACATGCGATCTTACTTCTTGCTCGTATTCACATTCAGACTGAATGGTGCAGCCCTAGTACACACTGTCTGATACACACACAAATGCCCTCTAACACACACCCACTTGCATACATACATTTGATTGTTTTGTGTGGCTGAGGCTTCTGTGATGTTGTAACTAGATTGCACTAAAACCATTCGATGTGTATGTTCTTTTTGAAAAGTGTTAACTGCAAATTGTGCACATAAAATGTCGTCTTTCCTGTGTAAGCAAAATGTTTAAACAGCCTAGGAATTTTTTTTGGTCCATTTTTAATCCAAACAAACATCGGTTATATAAATCATATTTGTGGTATTATTACTTTTCCAGGAACCTTAAAAATGCTAATCCAAGCTTGGGTATGTATCGTGGGATTTTTCCACTAAGATCTATGACAAGATTTTAAGTG